TATATATATATATATATATATATAGAGAGAGAGAGAGAGAGAGAGAGTATATATACATGGAATCTTTAGGGAAGGATAAAAGTTTTGCTCATTCATATCCCTGATAAACCTCCTTTCATGTGAAGTTGAATTTCCAACCAGAATAATAGTTCCTTTAAGTTTTTTAGAAAATCTCAGATAGAGTGGCGGGGGCAGGTAAGAGATTCAGATAACAAGTTGAAAAATAAAGTATAGGGTACAACTAAAAGTCTGACATAACTATCCTATGTACATATATGAGTACACCACAGCTAATCTTCACATCAGGTACAACCACAAGACTGGGATCCTAATTAGAACAAGCTATACTCCATATTTGTATAAATATATCAAAATATACTCTATTGTTGTGAGTAACTAAAAGGAACAAATAAAAAGAGTAGATCAACTCAAAGAGGGCAGTCCCTTTGGGGGATATATTTGTTCTTAAATAATAATCTGGGTTTTTTTCTTAAAATAGGATGAATTAGTATTTCTTTAGCACTTATAACCTAATTTATGCTCTGATATAGGAAGACGTTCTTAACTAAAAATAAAAAAAAAAATGTTATTTCCAGTTGCTGCAAAATTAACTGTCGGTTAGAGGAGCTCTTAACACCTGGAATGCCCTGTAAGTTTCTTCATAGAGCTGTTTTCAACTTAGAAAGGTTTATACTGCAGTAGGACTGAAAAGGAAAGGCCAAGAATTAGCTGATAGCAGCCTAAGGAAGGAACAACAAGTATTTACCATGAGGTCCAGCCTGAGAAATTTCTCTTTGTGGGAAATATTAATGACAATGATAAAACACAATTATAGAAAATATTAAAGACAAGCATTGAGAGCAGATCTTGTGGCTGACTTAAATTCACTTGAATATTCTCTTCCATGATAATCAGGTAAATTATGTTTTCTTGCATTAGTGTGAGCCTGGTGATCAGCAAGAGGCTATGGGAGCTGCCCCTATAGCCTGTCTATTGTGTAATGTCAGAAAACTGCATGTGGGCAAGCTCATTGGTGATAAGAATAGCCTGCGGACATAATGATCTTTATTCTTATGATTTACGGAACTGAAAAGCTTCTTGTGACTCAACAGTAAGAATCCAATGTGTGTCATTTGACTGCAAACCTCTACATGTGAGAAGGTCCTCACCATCTTCTACATAAAGCACCCCTACATTAGCCTTGTGGAAGGATGGTTCTTTAAGACAAGATGGTCCTTCATCTTCTGATCAGCTCACTTAACATTATCAAGTTCCTTCTTTGCCACCGCTTTGTCTCCCTCCCCTAATGGGTTTCTGTAGTGCCATAAACAGACAAAGCCTTTGCAAGGTCATAGTACCAGCATAGAACTAAAGGAGAAAGAGGAGTTTGTAGTCTGAATCTCATAAGTTGTATTCAAGCAAAATTTCCCCAACACACACATACTACAGAGTGGTGTGAATGGTGCGCTTATGACCAAGAAAAGAATGTCAGGCTCAGAGGTTTGACTTGCTTTTCTAACATCTAAACACTTAGCAGCTTTCCAGTGTGGACAATCAATACCGGAAACATCTTATTTTCTAGGGTCTCTTAGTGATTGCTATTGAAAGCTAATTTTAAAAAACTGTATTTTTTATACATTTTATATATAAATAGTCTAAGTCCTGTTGCCGCCCTTCCTGGTATGATCCAGGGGTCAAGCTGGTACCTTTCTGTGTAGAGAGGACCACAGAAAACCCGAGGAAGGAGCTGAGGCTGCAACAATGATTATAATCCATTGAAAGTGGAAGAGCAAGACAGAGCCTCACCCAGTAAACTAAAGAAAACCTCTAGTTAATGAACAACTTCTCAATGAGGATAAAATTATGATTACCTAATCAACAGATAGACATTTTTAACCAGATGGAAATTCAGAAAAAAATATAACTGAAGTGTTCCAGCAAGGACTAGAGATGCCTAATCAAAGGAATCTTTAATCCAGAAATATACTCCACACTCTCATACAATGTAAATGTTCCTGTTCCATTTTTCTAGATGTAAATGTTCTATTGAACATTTGTACACATAGGGATAAGTAAAATATGATTATAAAAAATGAATTAATATTCATTTTTAGAAGAATTTATATGCAAAGTAGTAAAAAGACTGAAATAATATATACCAAATATCAATAATGAATTTTTTTTCTGAAAAATAGTATTCTAGGCAATTTTTTTCTACTGCTTTTTCTCTATTTCCAAAGCTTCCTGTGATTTACATATAATAACTGAATTTTTAAAGAATAATAATATGATGATGCTAGAAAGAAGAATTTTGTTCTATAAAATGACTGGAGCAAGCTCATGGGCAAATACACTGGTGAGCCAGACACAGTACAGACAATGGTATGAAGCACAGTCAGCCTGTAGATCTGTCAAGTACACCTAAACACCCCTGTGAAAGTCAGTGTGCGCCTTTGGCAGTGTGCCTGCCCCAGGACATCACCTCATTTACATATTTTAATTTAATTTCTGCCTAACATCCAAATCAGAGCCAGAAACTGATATGTGGCTTACTTTTAAGAAGAACCACATATACTACCTTCTAGGAGAATTAATTAAGATAGGCTGCTTGCCTTCTGAGCCCTACATCTTTTATTCCTACCCCACCTTTAGAAGGCTGAGACTTGATTATTGGTGCCTACTATAATTTTTTAAATTTTAATAATAATTTTTAAATTTATTATGTTCCATGCTCACAAGAATTTGTGAAGAAGTACCAAGAGACCTCTGAAGGCTTCACTCAAGTTCAGCTTCCCCCAGTAGTGAGATCTTATATAATTATAGTATAACATCAAAAAAAAAATAAAAGAAACTATGATATTGGTATAGTACTTGAAGTAAACTACAGGTATTGATCATTTTTCACCATTTTTATATGTGTTCAAGGTGTATCTACATGCAATTCAATTTCATCCCATATTTAGATTCCTAGAACCACCACCACCAAGGTACAGAACAGTTGCATCACAAAGATACTTCCCTGTGCTTCCCCTTTATATCTGACCCTCCTTGAACTTCCTCCTGCATCCACTGATGACTCTAATCTGTTCTCTATATTTCTTTTTTTTAATTGGTTTTTGACGTGCTGGGTTGAACCCATAACCTCGTGCATGCCAGCTAGGCAAATGCTCTAGCGCTGATACATCCCCAACCCTGTCCTCTACAGTTTTATCTGCCTACCATGATTTCATGGCTTTTACCACTACCAAAACGAGTAAATGGTACAAAGAAGAAGGTAGCTTTCAGAAGTGATGAAAATGTTAGTATCAGAAGTTTTCAACAGAGAATAACAAATCACCTGCTTTCCAATACTGCCTGTAATGCGCTCAGACATTTTATTTTGAGGAAGACTCAATGATCATTGTAAGTAGTTAGCTTTGTATAAAAAAGCTCTTAACTCTGCAGTGTATTGTTGCCTTTTGCAAATGGCATTAAGCTGTGATTATTACCCACAAGTCTTAAGAATTATAATTCAGGCTAAGTGTACGCTCAGTGGTAGAGCACATGCTTAGAATACTCAAGGCCCTGGTTCAATCCCCACAAAACAACACATTCACACACAAAGCTCAAGGAGGAAACAAAAGGAAAGGATATAAAGAAATATCACTTAATTCCATTATTCATTGCAGAAACAAGGAATGCTAAATAAATGTTTCTCACTTAAGCAAAGCTGATCTGCTAGCATTAGTTCAATTTCCCTTTTACTTCTTTGCCTGCTTGTGTTCATACAAGTCCTTTCATGAAGGGGAGAGAAATTTCCCCAAGTGTGTTAGGAATGCAAAATCAAATTGTCATAAAAATCTTTCATTAAAAGGTACAATCCTGAACTTCACATAAATTAAATCAGAGAGTATGCATCTGTTAAGGTTTGGATATGAGGTGTCCCCCCAAATTCCTTGTGGTAATGCAAAAATGTTGGGAGGTGAAGTGATTTGATTGTGACAGCAGTAGCCTAATCAGTCCATCTTGGACTGACTTGTCCTCTTCCCTGTGGCTCGTCCCCCGCTTCCCCCTCTCTGCTTCCTAGTTACCATAAATGGAGAAGCGTTCCTCTACTAAGTCCTTCTGCCATGAAGTTCTGCCTCACCTTGAGTTCAGAGAAATTAACTTGACCAATCATGAACTAAACCTCTCGAACCATGAGCCAACATAAACTTTTCCTTCTTTAAATTGTTCCTGTCAGGTATTTTTGTTACAGAGACAAAAAACTGACAATACTCTTTTATATATGGCTTCTTTTACTCAGCTTGATATTTTGAGATTCAGCCATATATTCACATGTATCAGTACAGCATTCTTTTTCCTTGCTAAGTATTACTTCATTGTGTGGATATACTCATGTTTATCTATTCTCTTGGTAATGAATATTTGTATTATCTTCCAGGTTTAAGTTAGATGAATA